GTCCCAGATATAAACCTAGTGGGAGTATCCCCCCACAGAGGGACAAAAGGACCCCCTGATGATCCTCTAATCGCCTGAGCCAAGGTGTGAAACTGGTTGTGGGTCCCAATCACCCAGTTTCACAACTTGTAACTTTTGTCACTAGACTGCTTCATTAGTCTGCACTACTTCTTCAAAAAAGCAACAAGTTAAACAGAATGTGAACATTATCAGACATGGAAAAATAATGTTCAGTCTAAGTTAAAAAAACGAAATCCAGAAACTTGTGAACAGAGATGAAAAATATATCATTTAAATGAGAGTTTAATACTATTCACTAATGGTGGCTGCAGTGAGCCTGCTTTTGATAGCAGAGCTTTGGCGGGGCGTGGTCTGCGGGGCAGGTGAACATACCAGAGCGCCATCCGCAAACACACCTCACCAGCTTAAAACAGAATGAACTAGGTACTGTTGATGTGTGTAGGCTGTAGCCAAAAAGCTGCAGCCGCATGTGTAAGTCGACAGCCGACAGACTTGCACACGCGGCTGCAGCTTTTCAGGGGATGCAGTGGATGTGCATATTATTAACCTAGCTGCCACAAATGTCTTTGTTCCACCATAAAAGTGATTCTGATGTTAGTTCCGCATAACCTTTCTGCCAGGTGACTTGTGCCCCACCAGTGGGGTGCTCCACACACTTTGAGAACCACTGCCTTAGAATCAGAATCAGAATCAGAATCAGAATCAGAATGGGGTTTATTGCCAAATGTTGAGCAGGTTTACAGCATTAGGAAATTGCTGCGGTGCTTCAGTGCAAACATGGTGTCATAAATAACACTTAAATAGACATGGAAAAAATAAAAGTAGGGATAAGAATTAAAAGTGCTACGTGGAAAGATATGTGCATGAGATAGAGGCAGGAACAGCATTCACAGTTACATCCTGATAATACACATTCTTAGAGGCACGTGTTTGAAATTCTTACAGGTGTTTCAGTTCTGCGAGAGCTTTCCTTACCGATACTGTCATACGGGATCTTGATGGTGTCACTGGATGTCCATACACTGGTGTAGATTAAAAGACAGAGAGGCATCATCCCCAAGGCCAGGAGAGAGGAGCAGGTTGTCATACTGATACTGAGGAGCGAAGGATTTGGACACTGATGAGTTTCCTGCATTTGTCCCTAGCTGTGCTTATACACACTAACACAATCTGTTTTATTTAAATAGTGCATTAACATTGAATAAATGTAAATAAAACTCTAGACCAATAAAAACTTGTAATACATTAATTCTGTTGTTCTCCTGCCAGGTAGCTACACAACAAGAAAGTCTTCCTTAAAATAGCTTAAGAGTGTTCTGGGATCCAAAAAACATGAAAATATTCTATTTAGTTTACATACACAAGAGAAACAAATAGTTATCATAGAGTAAACATAGTGGTCCTCTAAGAGCAGCACTTGGTGATAGTAGGGAAACAAGACGGTTCCTTTTTTAACAGGGAGAAACTACCAGCAGAAAAAGGCTCAGAGAAGTCTGCTCTTTAACATAAAGAGAAAAAGAAAAAATAGCAATGAACCTGCCCAAGGTCTCACCTGAGGTCCATGTCTCCTTCCAACCAGTAGCAGATGATGTTGGAGTTTGAGCCACCTGGACAGCAGCCCATGATGATGATGACCACTGCCTGCACAGCCTGGACCCCAAAAGCCAGTGACAAGGCAAAAGCTGTGAAAGGCATAATGCCAAACTGGCAGAGGAAGCCAATGATAATGCCCCATGGCTTCTTAATGTGGCCCCACAGCTTTGCAGACTCCAATGTGCAGCCCATGGAGAACATGACCATTGCGAACATGATGGTGAGCACCGTGCTCATCACTACTCCCAGGATGGCATTGAAGTTACTGGGAGGAACAAGGCAGTCTGTGCCCGAGCAGGCTGTGGCAGAATTGTCACAGATAGCTGGCAGCATGGTGGTTGGCTTCAGCATGGACATTGTTGTGGCAGAAGAAGAATATCAGCAGATCCTTAAAACTTGCACACACTTTGGGGCTAGGGTCCTTGAAATGAGACGAGTCCAGTTTCTCCCCCTGTCCAGGAAAATGGACCTGACAAAGAGATGGAGTGAGCTTGGATCACTGCCCTTTATGCCCACGGTTCCAAAGCCAAATAAAATTTGCCCGAAAGATAAAAAATTAACCAATAGTCTATGTTTTATGGGGTCAGCGTTCAAAACACATGCATATAAAAAAGAAAATCCCAATGAAATATGAAATGCCATTGGACCTTGGCTCCATTTTTTATAGCCACGTGGGTTTTAAATTTTTATTGGACTCTCATGTCATCAAGCATCATCATGCAGGAAAAGCCACAGAGCACATGTTCTTTGCACAGTTCCCATAACATTCCCAATATAAAGGCATGCAGCTTACACAATCATAAAAGAAAGTGTAGAAATATTTTTTGCATTGATAGGAAAAGAGCACATAAATTGGGGGTGGGGGGTGGGCTAGAGGTGATTTGTCTGTGGTGTCATTCATTTTTGCATTTTGATTTTACATTTTTTTTATGTGCCATAGGTCTAATTATATAGAGAATCAAGATGCTGTAAAACAATAAAACATGAAAGAAGGATGAAAATGTTTACGGGCACTTCATGTCAATATACCAGGTGTGGAAACAATAAAAAGTCAAAGTGTCCTGATAGAAATTTAAGGGCTATCACAAGGATAGTACCAGCATCATCAACATAAAAACAGTTTACCTAATAAAAGAAGAAAAGAAATCTGCCACATGAGCATGTTTAAACCCACCAGGAGATCCCTGGGCTGTCCTCTAATTGGTGGCTTTATTTTCCATATATATTTTATTGCCTTCCTAACTGACTTTATGCAACTTTGCAGTCTGGGTCGTTGTGTCCTTGGGCAAGACACTTCACCTACCGCCTACTGGTGATGGCCAAAGGGTCCGATGGGGCGATATGGCAGCCTCGCTTCTGTCAGTCTGCCCCAGGGCAGCTGTGGCTACAACTGTAGCTTGCCTTCACCAGTGTATGAATGTGAGAGTGAAGGAATAGTGGTATTGTAAAGCGCTTTGAGGGTCCCGAAAAGCGCTATATAAATGCAATCCATTATTATTATTTTTCATCTATCATTTATTTTTCAGACTAGTTTATGTAATTTATGATTCTTTCACAGGGGTTTCCTTCATATTAATCAGATCATGTGTTGTTTCATTTTAGTAAAGTCTTCATTTTAAGCACTCACTATGTAATGTACTGTACATGAGACATCATGAGGTTAGAAACCTAAAACACACCAACGCAATACCTTTTTAAATCCTCTCTGGATGCCCATATCAGTCCATAATGGTCATGTCAATGTCTAACTTTCATTCTTGAACTGAACTGAATGTTTTACATATAAATATATTGCGGGTTATTGAGGAACTAAGCATTTCCATGCTAAATCCTGACATTAGTGCATCTCACTTTAACACATGAAGTGTCTGTCTGTCTGTGTGTTTGCTACTTTATCCACCAACTCCCTTAACACAGTTGAGCAACTGAACTTGGCACACAGGTACATTTTAGGCCCCTAAAGGCTCTTATCTACAGAGTGGATGCCACGTGGTTGCCAGGCCAAGACACTAAAATGATTTATGCACATATAACATCCTATTAAACAACATTGGTATTTTCATTTCATGGTAGTAAAATTTAATTTATATCCACAATAACTCATTTATGCATGACAGCAAAAGTAGGACCAAAGTAGTATGTTTTTGCATTTTTGCACCACAACACCACCCCATCAGTTTAATTTAATCAAAATAAGACCATGTTTATATTTACAAATCTGATTAATAAATGTTTTATTTTAATCCCATCATGTTGGGATTAAAATAAAAGAGGAATTATGGATTGGATCAACTGGTCACTAAATGCAATTGACACCCCTTTCTCAACGAGAAGTTTGAGCTTGCGTGAGCCTGAGTGCTGAAGATATCTACCTATTCGGAACCATGGTAACAGGGTTCTGGCTGATCGGAGCTGGCTTGGCCCTGACTTATCGAAGAATTAAGAAAGCGGAACCGGCTGTTCAAACCCCCACAAGGCTGCCCGCTGGGATTGGAACGATGGGAGAGGTGTGAGTTTCTCAAAATGGGCTCATTGAGTCAGCACGGATAAGATCTTGGAGAGGCTACGGCTGCTGAATAAGTTCTCTGACTGCAGACTGGATACATCTCAGAAGGGCTAGCCCGAAATATCATCTCTGGGCGCAAACTGGATGACATCTCCGGGAGGCACACTGCCGTGAGTTCTCAGAAATTGTCTCCTTGAGCACAAGAAATGACAACATCACAGAACACAAGTATGGCGAAGCTTGCGGGAGATTGAAAGACCAGCGTTGGACTGTAGAACTGCTTTGAAATTCATATGAGCTGTTCGCACTAAAGTGAAAATCACTATCACTTATGCGGATACCCCTTTGGCGCCGGTTGCGGTCTCAAGGCTGGAGCTGAACAACAACACCCTGATAACGACTGTGTTTAGTCTGTTCCTTCCCATTCCATGCAAGGCCACCTGGGTTGGCTGGAAGACTGTTTATTTAGCCTAGCAGGGCGAAGGACACTGTCTCAGCTGAACTCTGGACACGCACACATATACACTGATATGCACACACTCATCCCCCCTCGCTTTCCAAACGCCTTCGACACTTATTCTCTTCCGATGCTGACGGGGATCAAGGAGACCAGCGCACGCAGGCCCAGATGTACTGTCTAATTCGGCTGTCTCTCACCCTTTACCCACCCCTGTCGCTTGTCATGTGTTTCTTTGGTGTATTAAGAGTTTTTTTCATGTGCTATGTGCAGAGGTGTTTTTTTTCTGTTCTCAAACTGATCTCCCAGTTGGAGCTCAGTCTGGGGGGAGTTATTTTTTTCTCCTTATCTTTCCTCATGTGGTGCATTTTCCATTGTTATACCTCTCTGACCTGTCTTCCCCATGTGATGTTTTGTGTAATGTATGTATGGTCGGAGGGTAAGATGGCGCCGCCATTGCGTGCAATAGGTCGGCAGCCTTATGAAATTTCCCCTTGCGGGACTAATAAAGGTATATCAAATTTAAATTTATCAAATCAAAACACTGTCAACCATGAAAACGACGTAGAAAAGAGGGAGGACGAGTGCCCCCCGTGGCTGTACCTGGAGGAATTTTTCATGTACAGAGGGAGAAAAGGGGACAGCGTCCAGATGCTGTGCAAACTTTGTTTGACCTCATTCGTAGGAATGTTTTAGCTTATTATTTGGACAACCACCATCATTACAATAAATTAAATTTGTAGTCATTTAAAACTTGAGGTAAGAGGTTTCACAACTATACGTGTACAATATTGCTTTCTTATTTTTCATGTGTGTTAAGGTTATTAGTTTGGCTAAGATATTGTCATCGCCATTGGTTAGCCTGATATTAAAATAAGATGGAGCTAGCTAATGTGCGTGTGTGTGCACATGCATAATTGAGCTACAATTCGTAGGAATGTTTTAGCTTATTATTTGGACAACCACCGTCATTACAATAAATTAAATTTGTAGTCATTTAAAACTCACAGGCCTACAATCAGCTGGCCTATATTAAAAACAAAAACAAAAAACTGGAACATAGTGCTGAGCTGCATCTCAAATTAATCTTCCAGCTCTCAGCTGACATGTACCAGAGCCAGATTGATGGATCAGTTGATCAGTATCATTGGCCTGATATAGGCCTATCATAGTGACATGGCTCTTGATCAGTAGGGTTATATGTTTCCCAATATGATATATTTTTTTAAAGAACATAATGTGGATTGTTTTATTTGTTAGCTGTATGGGCAGCATTTTTGTGTATGTGATCCCTTTTCTTAAATTAGATTTGCTAAATACACATATTTTGCTCTCTAAGTATTATCTACTTGCAATTACAGCCTTAACATACATCAAACAACATCTTGAAACGATAGAGCATGGGAGTGAGGATCAGCAAAGAGAGTCATCTGATGAAGATGAATTCTTCTCCAGACCAATCTCCAGAAGGCTGCAAAGTGCAGTTGAGCTTGATGGTTACCTTGCTTGTGCCACAGACACCATGGAGCTGCTGCACTCCTTCTCAGCAATCAAAAACTTCTCTCTTAAACTGAACACAGCTCTGCCTGCTTCTGCTGCGTGTGAACGATTTTTTAGCTGTGCTGGTTTACTCTTCACAGCCAAACGAAGTCGGAAAGCCTCTGTTAATTTAGAAAACCAGCTCTTGCTGAAACTGAACAAAAGGTTCAGAAAGTAAAGTGTGACAGAAATGCTAAGAGTTTAAGACACTTACCTGCCTGTTGTTCAGTGTATGGGGAAAAGTTTAAATGGTTCGACGCATGTTCAGAAACATTTTTGTCATTCTTTTAACAAACAAAATTTCTTCTTTTATATCTACATTTATTTACAAAACAAGTTACCTTTCTATACCTTGTTCATCTGAGAAATGTGCTTTGAACATAAATATTTATACTGGTGAATCGAGTTGAATGCCTGCTATTGACGACAGAATAAAACATCAGTCTGTTAAAAAGTAATTAATACTCTGAGTAGTTTTTGAGAAGAGTACTTTGCACTTTTTCTCAAGTATTTTTAACACCAGTACTTTTACTTGTAATTGAGTACAATTTAACCACTGTAACAGTACTTGTACTTGAGTACAAATTTTGAGTACTCGTTCCACCTCTGGTTATAGCACTCCATGTATGGCCTGCTGCTAGCATCTTGCACCCTGCTGTTATGTGCTGATTGTCTCAGGGGCATCTTTACACAGCCTGCACTGGGGGTCTTGCCTGGTGTGATAGACCCCAACCTCTTTGGATCTTGCACTTAGAGCTTGTTCCTGTGCTGCCATGATTAGTGTCTCTGTGCTGTCCTTCAGTCCAGCTTTGTCCAGCCACTGCTGGGATTTCTTTTTTTTCTTTTTCTTTTTTT